GATTTGTTATAACTCTAAGTATTTTTCATATATGTGATTACATTCTAGAACTACGAAAGCCATCATCCAGAAGATACAAGTGTTTATTAACAGTTGTCTACGCGAAATACTTCAGATCCGTTGGCCGGACACTATTAGCAACAACGTACTGTGGTAAAGAATAAACCAGATCTCAGCGGAGGAAGAAATCAGGAAGAAGCTCTGGAAGTGGACAGGACACACATTGAGGAAAGCACCCAACTGTGTCACAAGACAAACCCTCACATGGAATCCCCAAGGCCACAGGAGGAGCGGAAGAAGAAAGAACACATTACGTCGAGAAATGGAGACAGACATGAGAAAAATGAACAAGAATTAGATGGAATTAGAAAAGAAGGCCCAGGACAGAGTGGGTTGGAGTATGCTGGTCGTCGTCCTATGCTCGATTAGGAGTAACAGGCGTAAGTAAGTAAGTAATTACTGATCAAAATGGATGTACAATCAATCTATAAATGAGTGTATTTTCTACTAGAGTCGTCGTCGTCGTGTTTTGGGGTTAATAAATTATCAATTATACCAGTCTTTGTGTTCTTGCTTTCACGTCGTGGGAATTGCGAAGGTCCCTCGTTCCGAGTATAAGTGATAAGTATTTCCCACATAATAATCAGAGACGACTAGATACAAAAAGTAGCATTGAAAGAGCCAAGACAATAAGCATTCAAACGACAAATTATAACATACTATACATATAAAATGAAGTCATTTAACTTGATTGTAGACTTTATCGGATTATTATTACTATTATTATTAATATTAATATTAATGGCTTTATCCAATACTACATTTTTGGAACAATATAAAATGCTCAGAAAAAAGCATTTCAAAACGTTTCCTTTTCTTATTTATTGATCAATATTGACGATAAATATTGAGTGATCACCAATTAGATGTTAGCAGTTCAGGAGTCGATATCTGAATAATGTACATTATTTTCGATATATATTGCCAGCAACCATAATGACTCTGGTTGTGCTCTTTCATAACTTGTACAGCGAAAGTTCGTGAACGTTTCACAAACGAATCTGAATAAGTTATGCAATTAATTGACATACTGATCTGTTGAAAAAAAAACAAAATATCTAGACGGTAGAAACAGGTAGCCCAGATATTCAAGTAGATCACCTTAGAGATGATGTAGAAGTGAAGTGAAGAGAAATAAACTCATTGGTTTATCTCAATACATGAATTTTCATCCTAAATTAATCGCTAATTATCATATACATTTAATTAAGTTACAGTATTTTTATGAAAGATATTATACATATAAATTATAGTTTAATTTGCTGTTAGTTAGTCCAGTGATTTGTCTTTTAAAATGTATTCATCATTTGAGATTTAGGGATTGTGAAAAAATCCTGATTAATATTTTAGTAAGCTGACTGATTCACTGAAACAATTTTAGTTGACCTAAACAGAAGAATAATCTCATATTAAATGATTGTTTTTTTTTAAATACAAACGAGCTTTGTGTTATGGTGATGCATTTCAGTAGTATATTTTTTTGTTCGCAATTTTCCAGACAAATATTTCTCATAGATACAATTTAGGCAAAATAAAGATTACAAACAAATTATCAAATAAATTGATGCTCATTAAAACTTAATTTTTTAATAAGTCGACTTGGAAAACACATACCTTTCTACGAACTTATGTGTACAGTTCATCCAAGAAGGATACACTTAGTGTATATAAAGACCTTTGTATTGCATATATTTGGAACTGATCAATAATATTGAATAATGGAATTTCAGGCATTAAATAAACAGTCAGTAGTTCGAAATGTCGATACAGCAATAGTCATAGATTCCTTACCACATGGAGAAAAGAAATAAGTTTGACTAAGAAGAAGAATTAGCCACATTATTTGCTAGATGACTAACAAAGTAGGATATAAAGCAATTTTAATTTGAATACTCCATTATGCACAAATTAAAATGACCAGATTACATTTTAACATTTCACTCGTAGTAGATGAATTGTATAGAAAATAAATTATATACATGAATTATTTATTGCAGTCCGATATTCAAGTTGTTAATGCAGTCAACTTCCTATGATTGAACTTTTGATTTGAGCAGCCAGGTAATATCACTAGCTCAAACATTTACTGTAGATCAGAATAGCAAATGAGTTACATTATATATTTATCTAGATAAAATGAATGTACCTAAAATGTTTGTTGAGAACTTTTTGTGGCCTTATATTTACATGTCAGTTAGATCGGACGATGTTGGCGGAGGATTCACCACTTTAATGGCCCGCGATCTGACTGGATCGTATGATTGATTGTTGTCAAAATATACATCCTGGATATCCTCGCATAAAATTATCGACTTAAATCGCGTTAATGTATAACGGAATTAAATAATTCAAATACGAGAATAAAGTTTGAATGCGTATATTCCACACAATCTTTGATCTGAACAGACAATCAGGGAGACGGAGAGAAGAGAAGAGAGAGAAGCGAAATGACGTGTGTGAGCCAACTCCATTTAATCAAGTGTTAATCGATATTTATAGCAAGATAAAAATAATTTACAGACATGTGATGAGTAAGATAAGTTCACTCACATAAGCTCATATAAAAACAGTCAAGGTTGATAAGAAAATAATTAACAAGGTCAAAATGTAGCTCAAGAACAATGGATAAATTGGCCTATCCAGAAGCTAGAATAAGTTATATGGGCTTAACAAAGTAAACTACACTACAAACTGTTTGGCTGCAGATTTTAAAAATGAACTTAATTGTGAGACTTTACTCATGATAAAAACTGTACATCTGAGATGATAAGCCAATCCCTTCAAAGAAGTCTCTATATGCTTTAACTTAGCAATCAATAGAATATACGCCAGTTTTTTATAAAATGTATATTAATAAGAACATAAAATAATATTGGTATTTCGGAATGTACACATATCATGAGCAAACCGATTTAGATCATTCACACAACTCAAATTCGAAATCAGTAGTTTTCTATGGCAGTTTTATTTAGTAGGCAAGTAAACTTCGTACAATAAGATGCAACCAGTAAAAAATCGGCTGACTTTTGGCAACTTGGTTTTTTAGTGGAACTTACCTGATTTCGAACTAATCAAACAAGCTAACATATTAATCACTGGTATCAGATCTCGTTGGACGATGCCTTTATCATTTCTATTAGAGCAAAATGTTATATCCTAGTGAAGATCAAATTAGAAGTAACTTCCGAGGACTATTAATGGACTAATAGTCTACAAATATTCTTATTGTATAATTATTCAGTAATTATATTATGTATATTTATATCCCCCTTATTATAAGCTTCATTCTGACCTATAATTTGTTATATGATTTACTGTCCCTAAATTATGCTCAGTCTATTAATTACTGTCCCCCTCGTTCACAGCCACTTTTTGGCTTGATTGTGTATAAATATTATTTCCTAGTTTATGGTGCGTTGCGGTTTGTTTGTTTGATATGTAAACACAGTATGTTTGAAATATGTGATTCGCATACTGGAAACTGGTATTTAGTGTTCTGGACTCAAGTGAACGGGCTAGGCGGACATAGTACTAATAAGGACGCTAGACTGCCCATACTGGTCGAACGTCATTGGTTTTGGCACAGTGTGGAGATTTTATAAGTCGTATTTTGATTGGTGGATAAACCACTTGATAAAAGCCGGACATAAAGTCATAACACAAAATGGTGGGACAGGAAATTTAGTACTATAATGGACTATATGTGGGCCGCTTCAGTGACTAAGTAGACGTTTAGTTAGCACGAATAAATTCTACCCGATGTTCTGTTACAGTCTATAAGATTTGGGACAGAAAGTGTTTCGCTAATTTAGTTCAATGAGTTGTAACAGAACCAGATATTTAGTATATGACTGGAAGTTACATTTTTCTTAGACGGGTTTGTCCTAACATGAAGCAGTCGAATTTGTTTGATAATCCTTTTTACTTTTAATATTTTCACCCTAATGATGTCGCATAATTTCTGTCATTTACGACTTCCAAGCAAATTCCAACCGACTTTTGTTGCTTCTAATTCATTTGAAGAAATCCGTCAAATAACAGAAGTAGTTTATCGTTGTAAACTGGAATGGTAGACAAGACTGTTCTGACTATCTTCATGATTACATAACATTATGTTGATAAGTTTAACAAAGCTGAAGTTATTATTGATTTTGTCGTTTTATTTTCATTGTAATTAATTACAATGAAATTCTTGTAATGAATATAAATATATGCGGGTTGTTTTGTTTTGATTATGATAAACAGTCAGTATTTTTTAATAATCATATAAAACTTGGAGTATTTAGTTGCACAAATAGCATAATTTCATTAGATATTTACTTGGGAACAATCATCAAGGCGTAATTTTCAAAATGTTTAGTTTTTAAAAATGATCAGTTCTTCAGTAAATCAATCCACCCTTAACGAATTCAAGTGCTCATCATTTATTGGTACTGCAAAAAACCCTAATCATATGCAGAGATTGTGGAGATTATTAGATCTTATTGTTTAACTCACGGACTAATTTTAGTTAAGCAACCAACGAAAACAAACAAACACTGGATAGCTATTCCGTCTTAGTGCGGGACTCCTCAGAAGTGTAAGTCCACGACCCGTTGGGGATCGAACCCAAGAACTTCAGGTTTCGCGGTGTGGAGGCGCACTGTTGAAGAATACGTATACTAGTACAACACAGTTGTCCATTAGTTCCTAGTTTTCAATGGTTTTTAGCTAATATCAGTTAGTGGTTCAAACTATAAAATATTTTTATAAAATAGTCATTATAAACCAGTTACGGAATGACAATGACATAATCTTTCCTTTCACTCAACACAAAATTATGAAATCGAATTATAATAAATGAATTTACCATGAACGTGTGAGTATATTGATAATTGTTCCAAACCTCTGTATGCACATTACATATCGATCTATAATTTTACAATCTCCAAAAAAGAGTTTGAGATTTTCAACTTGACAGAAGACACCAAGTTGTTTCATCTTTAAACTATACACATATAACTTATAAATTTGATTCTATATGTATCTAAACTCTTTAATATTCAAAAATGAGCATTTATGTTGTATTCATTAGTAATGAAGTTAACTCAAGAGAAAAGAAATTTGGTTATTTTTTTTTCAAAAGATATATATTATTTCTTGTGTGCAAACATTAAACAGTTAACAAGAGAAACAGCTATACATAGAAACAAACATAGGAACACAACACTGACTAATATCAGCTCAATGTTAATGCTTTATTTAAAAAGCATTTTAAATCAAAACAGAAAAATTTTCCGATAAACAGAATAAAAGAAAAAAAACGAAGAAAAATAGAACAAGAAAAATTTTATAACAAAACAAAAAGCAAATTTATAGGTCAAAGTGAATAATGTAGAATTATATAAACACACCGGTGAGAGGAGAAAATTAGTACTGTAGACAACAGTCACTAATTATATAAAAACTATAAGTGATATATTTATTGGATGAGAAAACAGTGTATAACAAGTAAAAGGAAAAAAATAGTATAGTTGAGATTCTTAAATAATACATAGATATATTTGTATGTGTTCAAAAGATTTTCTTTAAAAAAATAAACACAGCAGTTAATTATGCGAACGCCAGTATACAAGTAAATGAATATAAACAAAAATTTCAGTGATTCGATTCACACAGTCATGACTGTATTAGTTGGGACATTTACAAGCACATTTTTATTATTATTATTATTATTATTATTATTATTATTATTATTATTATTATTGGATTCATTTAAATTGATTGAACTGGCAGTATTCGTATTGGTACTAGTTGCTGTACATCGTTCAGCAGAATTAGCATAAATACGATCCCAACCGTATGGATGACGAGAACAACAAAAAGCATAACAATTCCATAAGAAACCCTAAAGGAATAAACATTCAAGGGAAGAAATAATAATAATAATAATAATGAATATATTCCAGTTTATCATTACAATTTATATATTTATAAGAATGATTATTGATCAGCATCAAAATAAACACTAGAGTTGTATATTTTATATTGAGATGACTTCAAATCAACAGTATATGAAGTAAATATTGAATAATCAGAGTAGTTGACAAAGTATGAAATTAACAATTATTATCAAATTCAACCGATTGCTGAATGAATATATCAATACTTATCGTATACAACAAATCTGTTGGATTGATGGGTCATAGAGTATCGGCACAAATAAAAAAAACAGCTCAGTTGACTTCTGTAAACCTGGGCTAAACAAGATGAAAGCAAGTTGTCTTTTAGGTTATCAAAGGAAGAATATACCACAAAATAGTTTTCTTTTAATAATAATCTATAGTTTTGAAGTATACTTTATAGAGTTCAATGATATGAGTAGACAGTTAGAGTTTATGATCATAGATGTCTTCGGAACACTGCCCATTTATTACAGAACAACCAAGTGAGTAATGTTCGGTTTAAGTGTATGACAGTAAGTAGATATGGTAAACTGGTTGAATAAATTTTTAATATTGATATACTGAAGTGGTTGGGATATGTGTTGGATTTGCCGGGCTACTATCTACCCTCTAAACGTCAAAGGATAACCAATAAAGGACTATATTGTAAGAATTCAAAACGTGGCTAGACCAATCTAGGAAGTCATCGACCATTGGTTTAAAAAGTTTCAAAAGATGAAAACTCCCAGTCTGTGATCCACAAGATAACTTTAATTTATGAACGAAAACCTTCAGCTAGCATCGGTAGGAATCAGTCACAGTAATGCATAAGTTATTCATTCTCTGTATATATATATATATATATATATATATATATATATATATATATATATAAATCCTAAATTTCTATGTTACGTAATTCGGTTTCTTTAGAGTTATATTAGTTCAGTTTAGGTTACCGTACTTATCTGCCTATCGCCACAGAAGCTATGGAATTACATTAGAAAATACAGTAAACCAGGGAAAACATATTACCAGATACTAGACATCCTTAGGTGGAATAGAATCCAAATACGATTTTTCTTTGAAATATAATCCTTCAAGTAAAACCTATTTCGATTATCCAATGTTAATTAAACAAACAGTTGACATTTATTTATCGAGTTGTAGCCAATTCGTAAGACACTTGGGATTAACGCTAAACGGGTAGTATGAATAGTGGAAAAAATATTTGGTACAAAAGACAACTACATGCTACATGGTGAGCGAGGTGAAAACTTTACAAAACTTCATCGCCATAACTCAACTGGCAGACCAGTAAATCAAAAACTTGGGGTTTGATAGTTCAAATCCAAAAAGGATTAACTTAATACTCCATTCATCAACCATACGTAAAATATGTGAGTAACACAACTTATACAACTATTCTTGATAAACAATTCGAAACTCTAAAATTCATGTCGACTTTTCGTCAAAGTAATTATGACACATAATATCATAAATATCTCCACAACAAAACATAAAATGGTACGTAACTTGAAATAATATCTTACTTGGTTGAAAGGATTTTCATCAGATTTTAAACTCTGTAAATAAGTGATACGATCATGCGCTACTGTTTCCCATGTTGTTTTATTGACTAAAGCTAAATAGATATGAAATCCAAGTATTACAGTAACCGGTACTCCACAAATAATAAGCATTATTATAAAAAATAAGAACATACTGTTGTTCTTGAACCAAATATTCCATTTTGATGCTTCAACCAATGAACACCTGAAATGGGCATAAATATATTGAATTTAGAAAATGACATAGATGAAAGTGTATAAAACACGGATTGTTTTTTTCATATATTGAATATGCCCACAGTAAATAGATTAAATAGCTTCCAAAACATGAAGTTATTTGATACAACAAAGGAGAAATATTAAAATGAACCAGTTTTCAAGTTGGAAATTTCATAACAGAATAACGAGTGGTCATCGAAACAAATGGTATGTACGTAAATATAGGCAATCGCTAGTAAGTAATATTATTTGAAAACATATTTACACCTTCATTGATTATAATTAACTGCTATGATTTGAATTGTTAAAAAAAACTAGTAACTATGATAGAATTTTATGAAAACGTTTTGACTGAATAAAATTTACATCTTACAGTGAACATCTTGTAAATACTAAGTATATTCTATCACCCAAGATAATTAATCGATAGGAGCGTTAAGTCCGATTGAAGTATTCAAACCTATCATCTAAACATTTCGTTTTAAATCACCATTATATTCTTCACAACTGTTGTGAGACAGACAGGTAGGTAGTCCTCTAACAGGTATTTGATGCGTTATATATATTTCCCTACCCTTAAAACTTACTTCGGTGTCAATTAATAACTGTTGGCTAATATACGTACTAGTCAGACAAATCGTGTGCTCTTGATTGAGCTGTGTTTAAGCCTGGTAGAATAGTGCTGGTTGGATTCATCCTTCACCATGTGGATGGTATCAATATTATTCTCGAATTCAGTAATATTTAACTCCACGATTATTCAAATTTTCATATGATTTAAATATCATAGCTCAGTATTTCGCTGGTTTCTATGTAGGTGAATTTGTTAAATAAGCTACTGGTCTTAGTAGAGTATTATTCTTGTGATCTTTCATAGTCCACAAAATCTACAATGGTCATAACTTCTGGGTATAATGTGAACCACAATGACGGTCCTAGTTTTATTTCAATCGACTGTTCAATTTTGCTTGCTTCAGCGTTAGGTTTATTAAGAATAGTTCATCATTTCGTTTCTTTAATTAATTGACTCAAGACATCTAGATGTTCTCTGGTCCTGTTCTCATAGACTGATCTGTTCATAATGACAGTCGTGTTCCTGTCTTATCACTTCTTAACTGTTTTATTGCATTTAATTCATCTGTGGTTAGATTAGAAATGTGTGGTTTTGATGTAAATCAGTGGCCGTAATTTAATTCCTCAAGTCATTCGCTGTTTCATTAGAAATGCAATGTAATATCAGTTTAATTGCAGGTATAACATTGAGCGGTGATAATTGTGGTCTATTTATAATAAAAATAAAACTCTTTTTAAGCAAATACATCTCGTGAGTACATAGATTTCTATCTGATGAATTAACGATCAATGTGTTCAAATTCAATGTGTTAGATTCCTCTCCAGTCTGTTGAACTTTGTGGTTTGTGAATGTTTCAGCAATTTTTCCAAACTTTCTGATCTACCGCTGTTTTGACGATTGATAAAAACACTGTTCTCGGTGTTTAGGGAATTCATTTACATTTAATCCTCTTTCCTCCAGTGTGATAACGGATAACACATCATCAATGTTGCTAACGCAGTAACTAAATTCATAGTGACTTTATGCACACGATTTCTAACAAATTTTCTAGATGTGACATTCTCTATGACGAACAGATTTATCGGAATAATTGATTAATAGAGATTTAGGATAAACATTTCAATTCAAACATCGTAGATTGAAAATCCTGTGATTTTATAAGTTGAGTATTATCTTTCATAATTTAATTCGATCACAAAGTAATTTATACGAATACTTGTCAATAGTTGAACGGACAGATTAACAGAAATTAGGCACAGAGTATAGAAAAGACATTACTTCTGAAAATTATATTTCAAATAATTTCAGCAACTGAAATTTAAATAATTCCAAAGCTCCATCCATTAAACTTGTCCAGACTTCTTCAGAGTAATCATCAAGGTCAAGATCATCAGAGAACATACAATAACAATAATAATAAGCACAGGTGGATGGTGGCTGGCAGTGGAATCCAAGAAGTAAGTTTCGTCTTATTTGAGACTCGTCAGCTGGATGTACATGCATCCGAGTTTATGTCTACTTCAGGAATTGAACTCAGTGCCGTTCGTTTTAAACCCCACTGTGTTATCCACTTAGTTGCTGGGCCCCGGAACGGATACCAACTCTGGGATGTAGGTAAATCCAGCTGACGAGCCCAAAATAAGACGAAACGTGAGTCCTGGATTCCACTGCTAGGCATCATCCATCTCTGCTTATAATGCTTGGGATTTAATGGTGATCTCAAGGCGATTCGCACACGATGTACATATGCCAAGAAAGAGACTGATAGATCCCGGTTCAAAACATCAATGAGAAAATTCAAACAATCAATACATGTAATAACAATATTAATTCTAAATAACTTACCAACAATAATATAAACACCACCAAATTGAAATAGTTTGACAGAATAAAAATACAACAAACGCAGAATGATTTCGTTCCCCAATACAATTCCCAACCCATGGACAATGATGATCAAACTTCAATACACAGCGATTACAATCTGGACAATGACGACAACGCAATGGTTGCTATAATGTTCAAATTTCAATATTAAAATAAACACAGTGCTTAATAAACAGAAAATCACTAATTTTAAAAGGACTAACATACAGTACTAACTTGAATAAGTTTATCCGTTGAATAAGATTGTGAGATTAATGATCGGAATAAAATTATGCAACTGAAATCCATATTACATATTTTGATAGAAAACTACATAGTGTATGAATTGATATGAATTCACTAGGGATACAAAATCAACTAGTTTTCAAATAATAAATGAAAGGAAATATTGTGTATTTCAACCATAAATAAACAAAAATACAATATGAAAACAATGGTGGTCTGAGATTGATCGATTCATGATTCTAATGAAATTCAATAATCTCTACAAACCAAAACTGAAATTTATTATGTGCTCACTGGTGACTAGTTTCGAGGACTTCTCGAAGTTCTAATGAGAAATCACGACTAACGGAGTTCGACTGTGTTGAGTGTGAAACATCGCAGATTGGTAGACATTAACGCCGTTAGATGTCGGCTCAGTGGTCTAGAGGTTAAGCGTTCGCACACGAGACCGAAGGTCTTTAATTCCAGTCCTACTAACACAATCGTAGATGCGCACTGCTGAAAAGTTCCATACTAGGATGAAACGGGAGTCCAGCGATCCCAGGTTTTAAATGGTAGTCTAACGTTTACCGACCCATGATTTCAATGAGAAAAACTGATGATTAGAGGAGTTTTTAGTTTTTCTGTAACTAAGGATTTAGTTTCATGTTTTATGTATTAGAATAAATGACAGGCAAATTGTTTTTTCTCATTACGTAAAAACAATCATAAAAGTCATAGATTGGCATATAACAATGTAGTAAGTAAACGAGCATAACAATGTAAATCGGTTAAAAAAAATACAGAACACTTATTAACAATATAAAGAGATCAAACAGTATTAACAAAAGAAAGTAAGATTTCAAAATGAAATAAAATGAAAAATAGGCAGAAAATTGATATGAAATTTAGAAAGAAATTAAAGTTGTATATAACTGTGGAAACATGTGACGTTTTAAGCCACATTTTTTACTGTGTACGATTTCTGAGTTAATTTAAGTAACTGTATACTTGAGTATAACGATCGAACCAATATTAAGAAAATTTACAGATTTGTATAGTGACATTTAGTCATCTTGGAAACTTACCTTTCTTTAATCAACGATATATTTTTAATGGAATATAGTAAGATATTCAAAAAAGGTGACTTTATTTAAACTGATGATTACATGGTAAAAAGCAGTTTAAGTAATAGATACAGCTAGATAGATGTTATTTCACTAGTCTGAATATTTTACAGAAGATTAGTGTATTATTGCGAGAAAAAGAAAAGCTAGCCTATTTTAAGAAATGAAATATTTGTGAATATCATTTACTAAAAGCTAATGTAAAAGTTGATGATTTAATCGTTTAAGTAAATTTTTATCAAAGAGAATTAAATCATCTTTAGCCTAATTCATGTCTTGACTGATTTAGAGACATTTGAAACTTCCGCATCTACTCCACATACGATTCAACTGAAAATCCACATTTCAAAAATATGTCTTTAAAAAACCAATTGTGTCTTATCAAAGAAGCTTAACGGAATATGATCTGTAACTTAGTAGAACAAGAATTCGACACTGACAAAAATTCAATAACTAAACAATGAAAAACTTTCAAGACAAAATCAACCAATAGTTTTTAAAAAAACTGCTTGGATTTTCGCGATATTCATTGATTTTAACAGAAACTACCAAATGACAAGTCTGAAGCATAGTACAATGGATTAATATTAGGAATTCATTTTTCCTGCATGAGAAAATATAAGACGATTTTAAAACAAAACAAAAAAACTCCCATTTTTATATATATAAAGTATGAATCTAATAATTCTGAAGATGTCACTAATGTTGCGAATAGTCAAATACTGTTAAAAAAGAAAACTGTCTGTATCACTAGCTATAACCTAACTATTACGGTATTAATTTAACTTTTATCGTTGCTAAAACTTGTCATAACAACATGTTCCCTCTCTTCCTTTTCCGTCAAATTACAATTAAAAATTATAATAATCTGTAGAAAGGCATATATTGTGCTATTTTTCCCCTTCAATTTTTCTAAATTTTAAGAAAATTGAAAAAGCTCTAAGTAAAATAATTGATTCACCTAATTAAATCATGTCTAATGAGTCAATCAAATCATCTAATTAAAATTTAAGTTTTTGATTGAGATCATGAACCGATTGATGTTAGACTACGATTGAAAACTTGGAAGCATTGAACGGCCGTTTCGTCCTATTGTGGGACTCCTCAGCAGTGCTCATCCACGATACCGCTCGCGGATGATCTAACATCAATCGGTTCATCAGTCAGTCAGCTACAACGTAGGACCAGGCACATATGTGCATCGGTTCAGGTTGCCATACCTCATTAGCACAGCAAGATGAACAGCGGATTCATAGGAGTGGTTAGGTCAAAGGTTGCAATAAGGATATAGTATAGGAAGAAAGAATTAGTTCGTAGACAGAAAGAATGGAGTTATTTTAGTCTCTTAGTTTAAGGGAAGACAGGGAGTGTATACACCGACGCCATTGTGATCGATTCCGAGCCATGTCCCCAAGAGTCTCCAACCATTGGTTACGAAAGTCACGCGGACCCCAACCAAGTAGTCTGCATCTACCAACATGGCTCAGACTAGAAGTTAGTGACTTCAGGCACTGATGCCACGTTTTGGTTTGGCCGCCCCTAACTAATCGGTTCATGATTTTAACCAAAAACTTAACGATCTCCACAACCCCTAAACTGACAAAATTTAAGTGTTTATTTTCTAACAACTGGGGTCTAAGTAAGTTGGTTGTCTATGATCATTATTTAAGGTATCATTGAGATAATATCAGTTCTACTTTATCTCAATCGAAGTAAGTATAAGTAGCAGATAATAAAATACTTATTGCAATGAGTTGTTATTCTAAGAATTATTTTTTCATAAGACTACTTTTTCACCTAAATCAATAAATGAACGCCAACTTGTAACAACATTAATCATATATACACAGTGTCATTGTTAATCTAGAAATAAAACAAATAAAATGAAGTACTCTAGATAAATTCACGCCCCCCCCCTTAGTCAATACAAATATGAAAATGAACAAAGATAATACAACATTCGGTATATATATATATTACTTATGCATGCCATCTCCTCAGATGATGGTAATAATAATAAATATAATAATAGTAATAAATTAGGAGTCAATAGGATCGAAGTACTTTCACTGAGAGCAATTCATGTGATATGTTGAAAAAAAGCACTATAATGCACTAAGAAACATATATCGGGTGTATATATCTATATGAATTTGACAAGTTGGTAGATATTGAGAATAAAAAAGCTTATACACTATAAAATTAAAAAACACTATTGATACTATAATTGTTAAATTATAAAATTAGTCAGTAGAATGCTAATGATTGATTTAGAGTTGATTCTATCGTGAGACTGATATCAACTGGTTGGAAAAACTATTGAAAACTATGAAGTACAAGGATAGTTGCTTTGACCAATACAACATTGAAAATACACGAAGGCTATCTACTAGTCGGAAGCTTAATTTCATGGTCTTCTGTGGACTACTTCCAACTGGGTAGCATATTCTATGTTTGCTGGTTTTTAATGGTTTTCAAATTTCGCCAATTAATAATGCCCAAAAGATCATCTAGGTTAATCATAAATCATAATAAAGAATTCTGGTGACTTCATATACCTCGTATATTGTCATTAAAAGATAGTTAGAATCCTCTTTCTTTTATCATGACACAGTTGAATATAGCTCAGTAATATATGGTTGAACTTAAGACATCTTGACAGAATGAGGTTTGTAACTTAGTACAAAAATCGACACCACATCTTATCAAAACACAGATAGTTAGACGATAAACTTTTTATGAAGAAATCTGAAGACGATTGTTTTAGGAAATTCGCTTGAACTTGTATGTCGATTCTAATTACTTCATGGCAACATTTGTTATATGTTACTGTTCGAATACAAAACGGATATCGAATTGACAATGAGTGAATAACATGAATACAACCTCCACAAACTGCTTACGCTTACTAGAATATCTTTCAGAATATTGTAGAGATATACGGTTTCTAGTCTGTAGATGTTGTATACATGAAATCAAACACTGTATATACAACAAAGTGGGGGTTTAGTTAGAAAGAAATTTCGATACTGAGTAAATTTAACATAATCAAATTAATACATGAATTAACTGCAATTTTCAGTCTAACAGGAGTTAAATCTTTTATCTTTCTATTTGGAATTCATTCAGATAGAAAATATCTACGGTTGGATGTACTCAAAGCTTTCATTTTAAAAAATCTTTAGAACTTGAAAATATTCACAAACTGTTTAACTTAGTTCTACTTTTATGATAAATCCAGTTCAGTTTCCTTTGTTTTTCGTATTGCCACGCAAAAGTTAAGTAAGTTGGATTAGAAATATAGAGTATAGTATGCTGGATCATTGACTTAAAGGTTTTGTTCACGAGCGATACAGGTCTGGAGTTTGATCACCGATAGTATCTAAGATCCCCAAGGCTGGGTCGCAAACCAAAACAGGATAGCTATGCAGCACTTCCTCGCTATCAATGATGGTCTAGCCAAGATCACTTCGTGATTTAAACTATGCTAACTTGGTTCACTTTTTTATACTTAAGTTCACGAATGTTTTAAAAATGAATTGTCATCTAAGTATTATTAAGAATTTATAACTTCCCCTTGTTAATATGAAGGATTGTCGCTGATCAGACTCTATTGATATATATATAGTTACAAGTTTTTAATAAAACTGAGTACAAATTAGAAGTAGAACCCAAGGTGCGCATTTCATCATATTTTGGACTCGTGAGCTGGAGTTAATTGCATCTAAAAGATAATAGGTTGGAATCTCATTGAGGGATTATCAACACTGGGATCCAGGTACATTCAGTTGATAATTCCCAAATAGGCCGAAATAGGCATTCTGCATTCTACTCCTCGTCACTATCTAACTTCAATCACCTAAGTAGACAAGTAACTAATAAAAGTGAAGAAATCTATTCTATAATGAACAATGCATCAACCGACAGTAGAATATGATTAAATATGAAGAACAAACAATGCAACATGACAATCATTTCTCATGTGGATTAAATCCTATATTAATAGAAATAGTCTTACCTCTAGAAGACAATGATTACAGAATCTTACAGGAATAGATAAATTAACCAGAACTTCACAATCTGCATTCATTTTAGAGCATAAATTATTTGGCCAATCCTTTTTCAAATTCATAGAGAATTTATTTGGTTTTGTTTGAACAGTGTTATTTTCTTCGATTGTACATTGAGTTTCAGAGCGATCACGTTTACGTTGAAAGCATGATTCTAACTGTGAATGATTCTGGTCTAATGTCAATTTCTTATAATTTATATCGGTATCGTATTCATTAACATACATAGGTCTTTCATCACCAGAATCACTAGCTAACGAGATATGACCACGTCGATGTCGAAACCATCTAGCCTTTGGAGAGACAAAACGAATCGACATAAAAATAATCGAAACAAAAGATAAACAGCACATGATTATACTTCCATGTGTACACAAAACATGCATACAGAAATGATACAGAACTCAAAAAAAAACATTTAGAAAATCGGACTAATTTCTAACGATTTCAGAATACAAACAATGATATGGAGGTAATAAAAAAAGGGATAAATTCGATTTTGTTGAACTGAGCATTCCTAAAGTGCACTCTAATTTATGCGCAGTACAGTAAAATACAGACTATCAATTTTAAGCAAACATCAAAATCTTGAAAGACCAAATCAAACTTCACTGAAGCACAGAATATACCTGTCATTTAGCACTACATTAACCGGGTATTTAGTATTAAGTGTATTATATATATGAGTGGTTTGTGGTGATTTATCAATTTGTAGTTTATCAACATCAACGGACTTTAACTATGCAATAAGTATAGTTGAATCAGTACGAAATATATCATAAATAATCAGGTCTAATAAAGAAGTTATTCAATGTAATAATTATAGGAATAAGTATGTAGCCATAATTCTCCCAATTATAGATAATCTGGAACAAACTATAAATCTATAACATCTAGTAGAAATTCGAAAAAGAAAGTGAAAAATAACCACAATTTCCAAATTATCTTCTCTTATTGTTACCTTTTCAGCAGTCAGATAGCCTGGATCAATGCAACTTGTCAAACCATAAGTAATAAGCGAAATACCGAGAAAGGTAAAAAAGCATATGAAATGAATGACATCCTGTTCAATGAAAACAACTCGATGTAGTTCTGAAAAATAAATAACATAAAGAATAATAATTTAATTCATAAAGATTAATAAACGATTAATTTACTGGAATTATGAATATTTTATTTTAAAAACTAAACTTGCTAAACAATAGATATTCTTAAAGAGGAAGAATGTATGTAGAAAGTCTTAGCGAATGAATTTGAAGTAAATTCAACGTTTCGCCTAGCAATCTGGTTCAAGCTTTTTCAAGGAAATATATAATCAAACATCAAAATTATCGAATAAGATATGTCACACATCAACTCGGAGCCCAAATATTGTGAAACGATCCGATCAAATCTAGACGAAAGTTCTTACTTAATAAATATTCTTATAAAATCTACAACAATTTATATTAGACCATAATCTTAGTTGACATGATAACACATTTTCAAGATAAATACAAATGTAAGAAATAAGAAATGTGACCAAAAAATCACCTACTTCAACTTAATGAAATATGAACAGTTGGAAAACTCATTTTTTATCTAAAACAACTGAATATTATTCAAAAAAAATTAACAACAAAATCTCATGGACTGGTAAAGATGGAGTTATGATTGAACTGTTAATTTTGCAAAAGCTAGATGTAAGTAGATCAAGATATAACATAAATAAATAAATACTTGTCTAGACAATATGAATCTATACATCCTTATGAAAGATCAAGCAACCGCATTAACTCAGTAACTCTATTCTTAATGTTATGATTTGCTGTCTATGACACTATAGCTGATTAATATTGAAGAATTCAACTATTGAAAAATGATAATAACTTATAGGTATATTGTACACAGAAAGATTTTACTGTCATTTACAAAGTAATCATTAGCTTCTAGTCTAATAAATAAACAATGACTATGTTAAATGAAGTTGAATTTAATTTATTCTCTAGTGAACTCCAACAACATAAAACATGACGGTTTTAAACTGTAATTGTTTAAAGCAATCTAATCCAGATGATGGAACAAATGGACAAGTAAAATAATTGTACCATCTTTAATTTAAAATCGAAATCAGTACACTTATAATTGAACCACATAAATAGTAACAGATATAAATATGTTTTGTGTAACTCACCGGATTCACATAATAATAAAGGCAATAATACACCTAGACAAATGGTAATATGAAGAAAAGGAATGAAATAACGTCGATGAATTCTTGCATATTGATATAATTGATAGCACATTATCGTCTACTTATGAAAAACATCATCATTTCACTACTTAATTGAAATATCTGAAAACACAAAATAATAAAAAGAAATAATGACAGATCTTATGGACTAATATTTTTTTATGAAACTTCTTAATATACTTGAAACAAAACGAGACCAGAGTAAAAGGAATTTTGACTGAGTGCTTGTTTTTAAATACATTCATCAAAGACAACAACAATTCTGTGAACGTGTAGTTTGAAGTTATTTCCACTGTGCATGTTTGAAACAGTCATAATTTAACAGAAATAGGCTAGATTATCAAGTCAATAATGGAAAACATCATCATTTCACTACTTAATTGAAATATCTGAAAACACAAAATAATAAAAAGAAATAATGACAGATCTTATGGACTAATATTTTTTTATGAAACTTCTTAATATACTTGAAACAAAACGAGACCAGAGTAAAAGGAATTTTGACTGAGTGCTTGTTTTTAAATACATTCATCAAAGACAACAACAATTCTGTGAACGTGTAGTTTGAAGTTATTTCCACTGTGCATGTTTGAAACAGTCATAATTTAACAGAAATAGGCTAGATTATCAAGTCAATAATGGGGGGATTTTAAACACATACTGCTATTTGTGTAAGGATTTATACTGTCAGAATTCGATTGATCAAATTAGACAAGCCATCTATGTGAATTTAGAACTTAACATGCCTAACAATGTCATAATATTACACGCTAATAAGACCGAAGATAATAAAAGGATATGTTGATTGTTAAATAAAGAATAAGCTGAGAAACTATGCTGGATTTGGAATTTAGAACTCGACTAACCTGACCAACTTCGCTGTCCAAGTACTTCCACTTCAATTACCGAAACATTCTACAACAGAAAACTTCGACACTATCGTAAAGTGAACTTCCATATTAACTCCTGTAATAAAAAAATCAGCTTAATTCGTTGGATAACTTTATAAATGCTTTATCTTCCATTGTTTAGACAAAATAACTTCATAACTAATAAATTTAACTACTAAAGTAACCGTAGTTCTCTTTTTTGGGTTCACCAGTGGTAGAATTTTTCCAATATCTACAGCAGGTAGTGAATTATTCTTGTTGCAAGCAGTAGATGTCGACACGTCAACAAAACGTATTTGTAACCTTGAGAAAGTGGATACTTACTTCAGAGACTCGAATGCCCACCATCTAATGCTGCTATTCGACTTTGAGCTCTACAATCTACAATTAAATGCTTAAAGAAATGAAACGTTAACGCTAATCAATCCCCGAATAGTGGCCAGTGTCATTTTGTCTAGTCCTTAGTGGTGACCGATATCTATCGATAGTATATAGCTAAAAATTTAAAGCACAACAATTTGACACTTTATGCAATAACCTGGAAATAATGCGAATTCTGTAATTCATTGAAAACAACTAAATCCGTAAAAAAAATGCGTTAAAATTGTAGAAGCAGTAGCCAAGTCTCTAATTAATAAATTACCAATTAAACTGATAATTAAACTATTTATACACTTAATTGGAAATACCTAAACTTTTGCGGAAGTTCTATGGCAAGATATCACGACCTAGTAAGTAGGCTTCTAAGCGTTAAAAATTTGCTAGTGAAGACAACCCACTACCAAACAGACAAACCGGGTGACTCTTATTCTTTGGAGCAAAATAACTAAGAGATCAAAATGACTGTTTGTAGCCGCCTCAAATCAATACTACAACGCTAATCAGGAGCAAGTTTAAACTGAATTTGTAGTAACCATATCCTGCCTCCAGGTCATTAACTTTTAAATGAAAAATGAAAATAATATAAATCCAATCCTGCAAGAGTTGAGCAATCTGATAAGCTTAAACTAAAATAGACAGGTTGATCTCATTATTTTCTGGAATGAAAAATACTTTTGTATCACAACTGATGGATACTCAATTTCAAGTTTTTTTTGACATTCAGAGGTCTTGATTAATTAGGGAGTCAATATCACCAATGAACTCAGAATATTTGAATTGAAAAATAGAAATTTCTGGCACAACCTCTGTTACCTATTTATTTAATATTAATAAAACGATAAAGCTAGGGAATGAACAAATTGCACGTTTGTAACCCTTTGAATATAAGATTGATCAGACTTGTAAGATGATCCAGCTAACCAATACTTCTAAGTTAACTTATTTAGCCCGAGATGTCACCGTAATGTTTATTCAACGGGTATATGTGGTATGCGGCCAGATTCGATCATACATACTTCCCACGGTAAATCAAACCTTACAACGGCATCCCAACTTACTAACAACCAACTGATCAAAATTATGTAAACAACGACTTTGTAAATTCAATTAAGACTGTCCAACAATTTACCTTAAATTTAACGTTTTTAATTAATGTCTAAAATGAGATTTTGCAAAACTACAAAATTCACTTTATATCCCATTTCAGTACTACGAGAATTTCTTATGTCATAGATAATTAGATAAGAAAAATCTAACACTTTATTTACATGTATCTTGTAATAAATCTCCTTTTCTTTTAATAGAGAAATAACTTCAAACTTTTTCTCTTGTTATCAAGTCCAAAAATAGCATTCCTTTCATGTTGACATGAAGACATAGTGACAGATGAGTGTTCATACATACTTGTTACTGTAGCACAACCAGATTAGAAATCACATCATATGATGAATATTGTACATCACAGTAGAATATCCATTAGTTGTAACTACTGTGTTGATTAAGTCAAAAATATAGATGTTATAACAGGTCAAATGGCTGACTACATAGTATACACTACAAAAATGGCTAATATATGGGCTGTGTGATGAATGATAGTTTAGGTAGACATCCAATAAACTGGGAAGACAACCAACGATAAATAATCACTTATGTTATATAAGAAAAAACTCCAGAAAAACTTGAAAATAAATCATCAACAAAATTCACATCAAATCCGATACAAACATTATCATCTGGCAATCATTCCAAAAGAAAGAATATTAATCTTGAACAGACAAACACAATGCAACAGAGAAATTTAAAAAGAGAAACTACAAATGAGATATTTTTATTTCATTGTTTTCCTTTGGATCTATCTCCTTCATCTATTATCTTGCGCAAAACACTAAACAGTGAAACGAGTATCTATCTTCAAAAAAAAATAACATGTAACAACTACTCAATAGAGTCTATGGTGCATACACACGCGCATATCTATAAACAAACAATTTAAATATAATTCATATTGAAAATAAAAAGCCAGTAGATTAAATAGGATCAGTTTATCACTCGAAAATAATGTAAATAAACAACTTTAAAACTGATAATAACAATGATATTAACAATTAAACAGAAAAATCGTACACTCTTTTTTGTCTAAAGGTTTTGTTTGTTAACCAAGCAAACACAAAGAATTTTATTTTGTACAAGAAAATGACACAATATTTAGTTAAGGATGTGTAAGTTTGTGTGTATGTATTTATAGAGGACTTTCAGTTGAGAAATTTGCCTAGTAAAGTGGAAAATATGAATATGAATCAAGGTATACCAAATAGTAATCCATGTAGCTGTACTAAGCCAATCCCAATAAAAACAGAAGAGTGATGCGATTTTTTATCTACGAACGTACACAGGTACACGCACATATACACACAGTCATGCTAAGAAAATATGAAGTATACTCATTTGTATATATTATTTTAGAAAAAATCACCAGTGTAGTTTTTTACACACTGACTGGACAATAAATTTACCTTTTACAACACACTGCATTTTTGTCATTATGCGCAACTTCTACTTTTAAAAAAAGGAGAGGGGTAAAGAAATTTACAAAATAAAAATTAATAACAATCAGGAAACCAGTTCAGCTCACAGCACATATTGAACAAAATAAACTTGTGAGCATTTTGACCTATTCGTGTGTATGTGACATATGAAAAGCGAAAGAGAAAAATAATTTTGGGGAATTTCGTCTGTTCAACTCTTTATCAAATACACAAATAACTGAATAATAATTAGAAATAAATACAGAAATGATGGGTTGGATTGTTGGACATATCAAAATAAACGAAGTTACACATGTTATTAGATATAGAGTAAATTATTGGAAAATGGATGATAATTTTGTTTATATTTGTAGAATAAAATAATAATATTAGTAATAATGTGGTTTGGTTGACGATCACATTTCCTTAGGCAATGGTGGAGGTATGAAATCTTTTGATTGGTATGATTGTGTAACGAAGTAATATGCTAATAGAATAGCTATAATCAAAACAATTATGCTGATAACCAGTATGATAGGATTGTACAGTGTGACTGAAAAAAAATTACAGAAATACGAAACTCATAACTGACTATGATAATAACAGAGATAAAAGAAAAAATGCTTATCAGTGCATCATAAAAAATTTCATATATATAATACAATCATGTTAGATCTATCATACTAGACTCCACTAACCAGCCTGCCAGCTAGTTAAATCATTCCAGTGGTTGAATGCCCTCTAATCAGATATTTAACGTTCAATAGATGATAAAACAGTACTACAATTGAAAGTATCTATTGTTAGACAAGTTCTTGTATATATGAGTGGCATTTTGTGCAAAGCAAGGCTTATTAATTAAAGCCCTTGACTTTCACAACTAACATGTTGCAAGTTTCAACCATAAGCCAACGACTTCAATTTGCATAACAGGATAGTATTTTATTAGTCTTCTAACATAAATCTTCACATAGCATATAATAAATTTGACATAAATAGACAAATACTTTCCTATGGCGAAGCATAGAATTTTACGCATAGTGACAAAATCGACTTACATGGACTAGAAACAGGAACAGATTCAACCACTTCATCTATCAATTCAGACTCAGAAAATTCATCATCAGCACTAACTGTGTATGTATGGATGGAAGAAACAAAAAGAGAGTAACAGAAATTGCATAACAATTAAAGGGTTTTAATACTTATGAGTTGTAAAAAGAGATTTATTCATGCTTGTAAAAGTACCACATAGTATGAAAAAAGGATAAAGCTAACAACATGTATTATCTACTTCGTTACTGATAGGTGATTTACTTTAAGCGATTCAGTGATGAAACCGTTAAAACAAACAATGCAATAAATTATACGACAGATAACTTTATTTACTAGAAGACTTTGTTTGTGTAAGCATAATTCAATAGTGACAATTATGTCGCCATTCAGATACTTAATAGGATGTTATTTTAACCCGCACCTGCATAGTTTATAATTGACTTTTCTTTGGTCATATTAACTGTATACTATTTAGGAGTTCAAACACAAGAGAGAGGTCAGAAGCGGGATTAGAGGAAGTTGTACAATCTTGCCATTCCCTCACTAGTTTTGTTATCGATGACATTCTGGGAACAACTTTGAATGAAGTACGTAGTGGTGCGGATCTGTTTATTGCGAAAATGAGTAGACGTATGACATTGGTTTATTGTGAGATGATAAGCAACCTATCAGTTGGTAATCAGTGTCCGTAAATATGCCATGGTATTCTTACCTTATAAATCCAAAGTATTTTAATAAGACGAGCAGAAGCCTGTACCCGAAATCGTTTTGTAACGATCGTCCAGAAGTAGTGGAAACGTTCGTCAGTCAGCTACAACGTAGGACCAGGCATATATATGGATCGGTTCAAGTCGTCATACCTCATTAGCACAGCAAGATGAACACAGGATTCAGAGAAGTAGTTAATCCAGTGGTGGTAATGTATAGAAGAAAGATTGTATATAAGGATGTAGTACAGGAACGTTCGTACATCTAAGTATTTGTGTGAGTGTTGGTGATAGTTTGACAGATAAAATTAATCTACGCACATTAAAATCCAGAAAGGATCATGGTAGTTTGGACCATCTTTGGTGCAATATTAAGTCGAGACAACGGTGCACTAATCAGAACAACTTTGACCAATGCATGTATGACCATTGCCCTCTCACCTGAGGACGTCCGAGGGCTTTGTTTTCCAATATCGTTATCACTGAAGGATAGCTCACAGCCGGAGATCACTATGTTAGTAATCAAAAGGTTCAGAAATCTGTTCGGGTTCAGTGACAATAAGTTGATCAGTATCACTATCATAAAATACTGACTTCTATGCCTTAATTAAGTTACGTATACCAGTGGCTCCCATATCGCGTACTAATTGCTGATGCTGTGACTAGATTAACAAAGTAGAGGTAGTTAATTTATGACATAGCACCGCGGTATGAAAGCTGTCTAGAACTGAGGGTTCCTGTCCATCACAGCTCCACAGTTAGGGTCCTAGAGAAGGTAGAGTTTGGTGTCTTGATATGTTACTAAATATAGTTCAGTAAACCTCCCAGTGGTGATCTTTCTGTAGTGTTTTTAACATTCTTCATAAAAAAGATAATCTCCATATTAATTGTATTTTTAACAGAACTGTATCTCATATTAAACGTTATTATTGTCATTGTCCACTAATTATTATTTCATTTTTTGATCGTGATTTCCTTCCCTCATTTAGTTCTTCACAATATTATTACTTTACTTTCATGAAACATGTATTTTCGGTGTCCAACTGTAACAAAATTAACGTGCATTAATTAATAATTAAATCTCAAGCTAGTGATCAAAAGGCTTATTTGATAGCAGATGAGTCTTCACTGCACCATGTGAACAAAGTAGGTAAATGTTCCGTTCGTTAAGACTTCTGGATACCATGAGAATCATGAATGTGGTATACGGCATATTCAAAAGGGATACTCTACAGCAAGTAATGTCTTTTTTTAAACATCAGGGGATTACTATCGAATTCGTACTTCTTGAAAACAACCCTGCCATCCAAGAGCAATAGACAGGGATGTTTCAAAAGAGGCCCCAAAGTCGACTCCATGAAAACTTCTCTATAGAAAGAAATGAGTTTTCTACTCTCTGTTGTGCTGACATTTGGATGGCGATAAAATTAGTACTACCATCTTGAAACACTATCTTAACAAACTAAATATATTTAGGGATTTTGTAGCACCACTAAACCTATATACTGCAAACTATAGGTTGCTTATTAATAAATTAATATATTTGTAATATCCCAATAATATTACAAATATATTAATTTATCTGTAAAAATGTATTAAATGCTCAATTTATTCAAAATTATCAAGTCAAACCTTGGTAATGATACCTATAGGTTGCTTAGCTTAATATAAACTTGTATAGGGTTTGACACTAATCGCAACTACAGAAGTGTACATATATTTTGTGAGCATAATTGCTACTATACACTATCCAAAAATGTGTTTATTCTTCTGTTATTGATCTTCACGGCAAAATCTAATCCATCTTTGAATATCAACAAGGAGAAAACAAACTTTATCAGTAATAAATATCGCACTCGTTAAACAAGTTGGGAGTAATTTGAACTCTATGGCTTAGTAAATGTGTTGGTATATAGGGTGATAGGTGATAGGTTTCAGTCGCAACATGGACACCAACACTTAGATTTAAGTGCAATCAGATGAGCTCCTAAATAATGGGAAACGCGTGTCTTGAATTCACTTCTGGTCACAAACCAAAAATATAGTAGTCGCTACCACAATATTATCTGAATACATATTGCTAACTTACGTTCAGGACTTTTTTCCAAAGTAGTATCCAGGCACGACGCATCTATACGATCATGTGAGGACAACACCTCAATTTCAGAAACAGAATTTCTTAGACCAGTGGTATCGGAGGTAATCCCCTCCCCTGTGGGAATAGTGGGAGTAGTTCCAAGAGGTAAACAGAAGTAAACCAAACGATTTACAACATCTTCAGCAGTTTCTGACAAAAATTTATAATCGGACAATGGTAGTGTAGGACAAGCAGGAAGTCGAACTAATACCCGTTGAGGTAGCAACATACGAGGAACTTAAGGGAAAAAAGAGTGGAAATAGACACTTATGAGTGTAAATATACACTAAGGAATATGTAATCAAAAGACAAATTATCGAAACATTTATAAATAAACAGAAATCCGAATCTACGCAGTAAGTCCAAAGAGAGATAAACAAGTAATATATCTTATATAGATTTTGATAGACAGAATTTAATAAATTAACATGAATATGAAAATCCGGTCTAATAGAGTATATAAAAATAAATTATAAGATTAAAAACTGATTTATTCAGCTGGGCGAAAGTCAAATCACACGTTCATATTTATATACACTGATTTAGATCAAGTATTAATCCCATTATTAAGCTTTCCAACAACTTGATCTCCCTTCCCAGTTTACTTAAGTTGACTAGGCATTCCAAGTCACCTAAAAGAGTAGATTAAATCAAGTTCTAGTGGCACTAACAAGCAATATGAAGAGATTAATTGTTAGAAACAGGACTTAAATCATACTAGCTAAACGTTGAATTCTTATTATTTTGTAATTTAATAATCTAGAGCAAAAGTTGATATATTTAAAGGTAAGCAAAAACGTACTAGTAGCGCGTTTCAGTGGATGACAAAAATAACTCCTAGTTTTCGTCATCTAAACGTTTTGATAATAGTAATTATGGTGTTATGGGGAAACTAGTGTTTCATATGTATTTTATCTAGAACTACAGTCGCAAAGTGAACTTTTTATTACATTCATAGTGAATTAGTTAGGTCGAATAAAGCTGTTTACAACAATGGAACAAACGAGTTTATGTTAAACCATCCTTATTATTCTGCAACTATTTAGCTGAGTTACAAAATATTAGCTACATATGTTATACAGGGATTTCTGTACTTGCAATGTTATTCAACTGCTTCAATACATGTCACGTTAAATAAAGGTAGAGGTTATTTGACATCTGAAAATATAATCAACCACTCACGGCACGTCAACTCTTCTTGATCTACAAGATATCTAACCACAGATTAAAATTACATTAAAAACTTCAGTATTGTGCATGTCTCAAAGGGTGTTAAGTGTATGAGACGATACAGATATATAATGCTATTGAATGTATTTTTTTAGTGAATGAAAAACAAAATAAGACAGCTTTATTTTTCTACCAGCTTATCAGAATTCTCATGATGAACAATAATATCTATCAAAATTAGTTACTTAGAGCAAAGAATAAGATAAATGAATAAATATGTGAATTTATTTTCAATTAAACACTGAAAAATAGATACTCAAGATCAGATGATAGCTTACCTTCCAGTTCAGCACTGGTAATGTGTAACTCTTCTGTTAAAAGTTGTAGTCGTGCTAGTATACTCCGTACAAGATCATTCCGTAATGCCTAAAAATTATCAACAACGTAGATTAAATGATTGTTAACAAATATCATCAAAATGTTACTTATTAGTAAAACTATTCGCATAGTGTTAAGATAAGAATGAAAAGGTTTACAAGTTATAAAAATATTACAGAAAGTTGATACAAAAATACTCCGCCAATCTATCCATCAAGTAATAATTGCCATTGTTTAACAAGTAACCTTAATTATTGTTTCGAAAATTTGGATTAGAACGATAAAATACTGCAAACACCATGACAGTAAAATGAGTCAACATAATAGCCCAATTAAGTTACATTTTTTTTTATACTTTCCCTAGATTTGAGCACTTAAACAAAATATCTCAGGTTTTTGAAATTTTAATTCAATCTTTACTTCACTTTAATAATCAAGTACAAAATCATGTATTCAGCTCTGAATAATATTGTTTTACGTGTGAAAGTAAATGATGCAACCCAAATACCTAGCCGAAATAAGTGGAATAGAATTTTAACATGGGTAGGACCTAATTGTCAAAAACTTTAACAACTTAGCTACTATTTCAATATCTGCATACATATTTCGATATTAGGGGGCAATAAATAATCGACATAAACTATTAGACGTAGGTTTCGTATTGATCGAACCTTCAGTCTCCCATGAACTGATACTTTCTGTATCTTTCTATGTCACAATAAACGATATTATTATTGAACCATTTAGGTCATCTCTAACACAATGTTGTAAATAAGAATCCTCAGGAAATAAGATATACTTTTTCTTAACTCACTAACGTTTACAGTATGCAAAAGTTATCTTGTATTAACTGACTTAACCTGAATTATGCTACACTGAGAAATTCATTTCAATATCCTGATTTTAAAGAGTAATTCACTGTTTTTTCTTTTGCTTTCTACCTGAGTTACAAATCTTCTCCACTTACGTTTCTTAGAATTTAAATGAGCTACAAAATATGTAATTAATCCATTAGTTGTTTTTAACGAATTTTCGTTAGTTGTCTAATATAGATACCAGTGAGTATAACTTACGATTAGTTCAAGGTGCTATACCATTTGTATTATTTAATATCAGGTAAAATATTTCAAAACAAGGAACAGAAAATATGAAATGCACTGAATGCGCTGAATTTCTGAATAAAAAGTTTTTGCTAGCGATTACTTTCCTGCATAAAAGGAACAAGTTTAAAGTGTAAGCAAAATGATATCCAAAAGAAATTAAATTAACCTTTTTAAATAAATACTCGTAAAGTATATATTTTACGATAAAGGTTTAGTATTTAAAAAACGAATTAGGAAATATTAAGAATATATACATAAGAGATTAGCTAACCTCCAGTAAGTCTCCAACACTTGAATTAGCTGGTAAAAACGCAATTCCAGGAATTCGGCCATTGATTAACAAGCGATTAATGGGAACGAAACTACCTGAAGAATCATTAGTATCATTTCCATTATTCATATTTGTATCCGAACTAGCACCAGATTCAAGTGACGATGACGAACTTGCACGCTGCCATTGAGGAAACTGCAAAGTGGAATCGGAGTGAAGAATCCAAAGGTTAATGTACCAATAAAAAGAAACCCAATTCAACACTAGTCAGTAATTTCCTATAACTCATCTATTAAGATAGTGTGAAAATTGAATTTTATTGAATTTTTTTGAACCGATTTGAGAAAACCGATACACTGGCATATCAGTCATAAGAGTATGTGAGCGTAATTAGAATCCCTTCTATCTGCAATAGAGAATTTGCGTGAAACGGTTTAGAACCAGCTGAAATGGCACAGATACATTCATTCTGCCTGAGTTTTAAAGTTATTATAGAATTTATTTCATGAATTCATTCCTCACAAGTTATATCGTTTATGCCTAAAATTTTTATACTACCGATACTGCTATTATTTTTAATGCTCTGTGATTCGTCTTGATAGTTTCATCTCGCTATGTTAATATTTTACTACAGCTAGGACCAATACATACTTATTTATTTATTTAGACACATAAACATTGGTAAAAGGAGGCACCAAATATACATGCGCCACACAAATAATTTGATTTGTATGAGGGCTGGAATACTGCCCCCGTGTCCAAACCGAAGCAGAGGGACTTTAAGAAGACCACGCTCTGGGGCTTTCACCTAGGTCTAACTTACAGGATACTGGAGAAACGTTAGGAGATATAGTCCCATGGTAGCTAGTGATCGACAAAAGGTTCATACGCCTTTTGTTCCCTTAGGACCCTGGAGCCCATGTGTAGCATTGGTTTGGAATCAGGGTTTTCCAACTCTGCTAGGTGGATCCTCCATATCCACCAACCAGGTTAAAGCTCCGGACATTCGCTCTTCGTTTTCAATTTCGTGAACAACACCCCCCGCCACGATAAGGCAGTGAGTAGGACTTCCCTGACAGTGGCTGTATACGCGTGGCCATATGAGGACGTTTCGAGACGGAGAACTGACTCTCCCCACCCTCGGACGTACCAGGGCATTTGGGGGCATTCATACATACACGTGCATATGGCTGATAACTAAATAATATCACATTCAGATCGCCTTAAAAAACTTCAGGCTATTAAGCACAATAGCTTAGTCTCAAGGCCCACTGAATGTGAAGTCAAGTCTACACTTGACAATAAACAATAAATGCTAAACTATTGTCAACCAATGCTGGGGATCATTGTTGAATAGGCGACTGAATTCCAACCATATCAAGACTCAAAGACAGTATTTTGGAGTTATAAAAAACTAATAAATATGAAAGATTTATGGAAATTACTTTTACAGTCGGTGATAATTCAGCGTAATCACATCTAATATGTGAAAGTAAACGGTACTTCTTACCTGTTGAAAACTGAAAAGTGGAACGGATTTATTAAATATAAATCTACTGCCGTAATTTAAATTACTTTATTACTCAACCACAATTATAAAGTCGTGTAAATCCCCAACAGGTCAAACAAAACAGAATTGGAAACGAAAATAACGACTTTTACATTGAGAAGTTAGGACATTTGAACGACATCGAGAAACAATTGAAATAGATTTCAGATGCCTGAATTTACGTTGAATATGGATATCTATAACACCCCTAAACTTCATACATGAGTAATAAGGGGAGGAGGTATGGGTGGTGAGAGTTTGCAGTAACGTTTGTATATATGGAAATTATTGAATGGACAACTATGAAGTAGATTATACGGTTCATTACATTGGCTTGCGTGATTAGGTAGTTAGATATATTGTGGTTCTTAGTGTGTTGTATACATCTATTGTTACTTGCTTAAATTCATGTTGTTCAATACATAAGCTTGATGATTAAAATCCTAGAAATCAGGAAAATGCACTAGTGCTCAAAATATGAGCAATCTGCTAATATACTACCATGTTTCATTTACCTTCAGCTTGATACTTTGGTATTAATCTAACCAATCAAGAAACACAGCACGTCAAACAAATAATTATAAATAATGAATCATTCATGATAAAAGAACAAGCTAAACTACTAAGTCGTTTCCCAGAAATGATAAGCTTGATATTACAGAGTAAAACTAACTTTAATCTTTGGCATCCATTCTGGAACCATGTCTCTAGCTTATTTCCTATGCTAGATTTACGAGCGTATTTAGGTACATAGCTTAGTTAACCACATCAGCCACAAAACCGGACTAGAAAAACTTATTTAAATCCAATAGCGCGATAATTACACTTCATATTTGTTGTGTGCCAAAATTTAATCTTACCACTGTGAGGGCCCTAATGTTTTGTCCTAATATTTCAGAAAGACAATATGTAACAGAATTATACAGAAATAACAGTAGACATCAGTGGTCTTGAGTGCTGTTAGAGGTATGAGGGTGGTTTTCACTTCCACAACGTGGAAGGGTTCTTCTGGAGGTACCTGAAACGGAAATTGGATTAGAGGTGGTCTTAGTGAGCTGAGAGTGACCGCAGTGCCCAAGGGAAAACTGCTTGAGGCCAGTCACACACGACCTTTTTGTGGGTAATTTTCGTGTTAGCTCCGTACTTGTTGAGACCTTACCTCCGGAGACGGAAATCCGTGGAATAAGGTGAGGTGTGCATTTTTATGGTCGGCCTTTTCTAACCCCACCCCTCCTTGTGGGAAGGCAGCATCGCTGTTACGCTGTTTGTCTGAAGGGAACACCTTACTGTCGTCACACCTCTGTACAGTCAGCAGTAGGACTTTGCCCTTAGACCTTGGGTTTGCTGCTATTAGTCTTACCGCTCTTCAACCGACCTGTCTGGCATGGTAGGACCTTGAGGAACGATTGTTCCAGCCGGTATAGCTCGACTGGTTCATCACGATAGGCAAACCCGATCACCACGTCAATGTAGCAACAACGGTCGGGAACAGTAGACATACTTGGAGAATAGTGCTCGTTTTCGCTGCCATGATATCAGTATAACAAAACTTTACTGGCTTAATATCTTTGTACAGTAATTCCTTTAAATCCAGGTACTATCATATAATTATTGAGTCATAAGACACTTTAAGGTCATGCAGTCGTTAGTATGGGGTAATATTCTTGGTATATTGGACAAATAGGCATGGTAAAAAGCTTTGACCAACACCTGCGGCAAGTCATTCACCAAGTGCAAATGCATGTGCTTCACATGTGAGAACTAGTGAAACTGTCTGGTTGCCCAAACCGAAATAGATGGAGGGGGTTGAACCTGTCACACAGTGCTTGAAAGTTGAATGTATTAATCACTAGGTCACAGCTTCATTGATTAATATCATTCAAAGTATCCATTTTAGACAATTCATTGTAAGCGCTCTTCAATTCAAGCATTTCTCTCACTAACGAAAGCTCCCACAATGGATCCTCCGTTCCGAGCAAAGAATACATATGAAACCTAGCCCGAATAACCATGCTTCTATGCCAAGACCGGCTGATAAGTAATAATCCAACCAATTTACAACTTGGTTTCTATAACACGCCCTATGTGAAAGTCCATTAAAATAGGGGCTTAGTGTTTAGCCTTAATCAATGAATCAAAGTGTCTCAGTTGAAGATTCATTGCATTTATGTTGTTTTAGCTGCATGGTAACTCATTTCTTACTAAAAGCTGATTCACAATACTCTAGTATGTGGTGAAAAAGCTTCTAAACACAGGCTATTGTCAGATATATGAAGCGGTATGAAAGTCACTAACCTGTGGTCCGAAAATTACTATATCAAGTGGGGTAAAGGCTGGACTAACGGACCCCTTGGCAATTGCATATTTCTTACTCCCCGCCGAAGTAACTAAGGAGTGATCTACATTAAGAGGCAAATCATAACGCTTTGACTTGGACGATTTTTTGTTCTTTTTGGTTTGGATGTCAGCATCAAGGGGTACAGAAAAATCTATATCTTTTAGTAATTTTTCATCAGCTTGATGTAATTCTCCATTGATCAGCAACTGTGTTTCCGTAACCAAGGATTGAAGGTAAGGTTCGACAGCAGCCTGAAAATTTAACGGAAATTTTGACCACTTGAAAGAGATGGTGAAATGGCAAGTTACTTTGATTGTACTTGCTTTATATACATTATACATTTAAAAAGTACGAAAATACTAGTATTACTAGTAATTTTACACTTACTGAATGAATTAACAAGCACTTTTATTTACAGAAATTTGTCAACAAAAGTGAACAAACAAGTATATTACGCACTTTTGAATTTACCGTAAATGGTTCACATTTACAACAACAATAATACAGTCTACTTATCACACATTCGCACTTTGCTGAGGTGCATATCCATTACAGAAAATATAGTAGAGGGACTTTGCTCTCCTAGTTAAATAGACGTTAACAGAATAGAAACTGGTACAAGTATACGTCAGTTTGACTTTTCGATCTCATAATCGTAACAGAAGAAAAAGTGAAGGACCAAAAGCAATGGCAACTGAAGTAGTCGAAAACTAGAACGAATATACGGCAGAACTAATTAGACGCAAGGAGTTAAAGGTTCTAGACTCACGAGAAAATAAAACACCACTCTATTTACACAACTGAATCTGTTATTACGCTACCTTAACCTATCGCCAACCATTCAATACGATCAACATCTACGAAACATTCAATAAATCAGAGTAAGAGGCTGATTACTGGGAATTTGACCGGTGTTGATCGGAGGATATCATAAAATAAAAAGTGGGAAACAGACAAACAATTATATGATTAGTGAAAAGAGTAAGCTTTGTATAAATAAATGGATACGATACTCACCACGGAAATGAACTTGTTTGGTGCACTTTAATAGCGATGTTTACTATGAAACCGCCTTTAGATGAATGGCTAGAATGACAGCTGGAGATGGATAAATAAGACATTAATCTAGAATCCGGTGATAAGGGTACTATCAAGAAACTAACGGTTAGAACTAAAGTCGGAATAGTTTTCCTAGGTTCAATAACTACGGAAGACAAGATCTCGAAACTTACACTAATCAGTTTGGTTCTTCTATTTTCATAGGACATTTTGTCATAAGCTGAGATGATTGACAATCTAAATCAGTTACGCTCAAGTCGAATTCCAAAATTCTAGCTTATTCAAAGGGTCAACTAACAATTAGTCAGTTACATGCAACGCGAAATCTGGCACACATGACTAAGGATGGTTAGTAATTACCATTAAACACCTTGGAGCTAATTTATCGCAACCCAACTAATTTTCGCTTGAGATTGATTAAAACCTCAACAATGATTGGAAGCTTGGTGATGACCTTTATTTCTGACTGCTGGCGAAGACAATGTAGTTGAAAATAGGATATAGACTAGTTGAACTACTTAACATACTTCGCACACCACGCTAGACGCAGTGGCGGTGGCCTAATACAAATCATGGAAGACATGGATGTTTACTTATCTACCCCATTCACGGCCATCGATATTCTTGAACCACTATGTGATGAAAACAATCGACGGTTTCTCCTTGGTTTTTGATTTTTAAAAAGTTGCTATAGATGACGTTACACGCAGTGTTATGTTTCAAAACCAGCCACTTCTTACCGTTTATGGAGCAAACTTGTAGACTACACAATAATGCTGTGGTGACAATGTAAACCAATATTAAGTTCATCGGATATACATATACTTAAAAGTTAAATATATGAAAGAGTGAATGAGGGTATAACAGTAGTAAACCTTAATCAGAAGTCCAACTACACACTTGGGCATACCTAGGCTAAAAATAATTGTGAATACCTGAAGCTGATACAAGATTTTCTCTTTTTTCCGATCAGATGGTAAGTGAGTCTCCAAAGACAGTAGTATATGTGTTTTGAATGATACCCATCGATCAATGAATGGGCGAATCTTTACTTCCACTGTTCGAAATTGACTCTACTGAATAGAATAATATCATATAAAACATACATTAGATCCATCTGCAGCAGAAGCTTTGCATTGAAATCTTAAGGAAAAATATAAATTGCAAACGAACATACTTTTTTGTTTTGGGGTCAGCCACCAACACTAATTTTTCGGTACTTTTTGAACAAATAAACCTGTTCATGGGTGTGTCATCCCGCGATATATGAGAGAGGATCTGACAGTTAGTTAAGAGCTTATTACTTTCTGAATGTGATTAGTATGACCGTTGAATTCGCCATAAGGGACAGTCAGACAAATCCCACTTATATGAACACCCCCTGGAATCATCCGCGCAAGATTTCTACAATGTGACGCAATCCATTTTTCGCTTAAATCCTCAATCATACGAGGCGAAACAGATCGATGGGGTGGATCGTCTGAAGTGTCATCTTTTGGAATGTCAATGGGTAAGAACAAGCACTCCTGGGAACCGAACCGCTACTAAATGAGGAATAAATAAAACGAACTCACTCCGCCTATCATTACTCCACAATGGAACTCATCTACAGAGAGCAAACGATCTGCAAAACTATTATCAAACAAAACCTCTGAGATCATCCTTAGTGTCTTATCAACTTGTAAATGGCGGGCTGAGCTCCAGCACCAGAAGACAGAGTAAGCAAACTACATTATTGTCTGTCTGCATCCAAGTGTAGTAAATTTTTAAAGTAGCTGTTGATAAAATAATGGTAGTATCTGGACAATTGTCTTCCCTTCCTGATAATCATGAACCAACGGTTTTGTTATATAGGTACCTAGGTAAAAGAAAGAACATTGGAGTTGAGGTTATTCAGCACTATATTACACTTCGGATAGATAAGGATTTATACTGTCCATAATTTCAATACTTTGGTTATGTGTGAGTGTGACAGTTCCTAAACAATGGGTTGTGGAGATAATTAACATGAACCTATTTTGCTTGTAGCGGTAAATAAATCCCCAAAATAAATAGCTCTAAGTTTTCGACATTGGATGCTGACCATATGTTTTAGTGGACTCATCTAGCTGAAGGCGCTCGGTCAGGCATCCGCACCAGATCACGTGTGGTAACGCCGTGCTCAATATCAACCGCAATCGCTAGCCAGATTAGATCAGAGAATTCCGATATATTGGTGGTCGCCAAATACACTCTTCCGATCTCCTCGACTCTGTCTTTTGATTTCTCTGGGTGGGAACGAAATATATTAGAAGGTGTTACTGGTAGAAGCGTTGTCAAACACTGAGTACCTGTGACATCATCATTGGTGAGACCGACGTGATCTGGTACACCTAATTGCAACTGTGAGTCTGTTCCTTTTTGGGATTTTTATATATCATTGGCTTATTTTTTATTTTTTTAATATTGTGATTTTTTTCGTGTTTTTTCTTGAATATATATATACTTCCTCAACAGGTGCAAGCAGTTCTGGTCTCGTTCCAGAACAACGCCCTAGACGAGCTAGCTGCATCTGCCGACCGTATTTTAGAAATTACGAAACCTTCTACTACCGAGGTATTTTCAGTCAAAGAAAAACCTCAAACGACTCAGAATGATATAACCGAGTTATGTCACACACTCACGCGTTATCTTAGTCTTCGTACTGACCGTAAAAGATCGCGCACCCCACGTAGAAGCATTTCACGTAAGCGATCTGTCTCTAGATCACGAGAGACAGATAACACCGACTGGTGCTGCTATCATAACCAGTATGGAAAATTTTCCAGAAATTGCAGAAAACCCTGCAATTTTCCCAACACGAAACCTAGTGATTCGAAAAACAACTCGGGAAACTTCTAAGCCGGCACGCGTTAACGGCAACCGTAGCCGGCGAACATAGCCGTCTGTTATACGTCACAGATGTGACAACGAGAGTTCACTACCTCGTCGACACTGGCGCAGAATTTAGCGTTCTCCCAGCGAATCCCAACGATCGGCTTAAAGAATCGGCTCTAAACTTACAGGCGGCAAACGGAAAACCGATCGCTACGTATGGCAAAAGGTACGTTTACCTTAACGTGGGTTTACGCAAACCCATTCACTGGATCTTCGTTGTTGTAGATGTTTCTATGCCAATCATTGGTATGGACCTTCTACAACATCACAATCTGATCATCGATACGCGCAAACGGAGGCTAGTAGACGGAGACACTAATTTATCCGTCTGCGTAACTTCTTTTACTGGTTGCAAATTATCCCCAGTCACAATTAAACATATGATAGACCCACTCTATCAACCACTACTCGATAAGTACCCTGGGATACAACAAACTCAACCGAAACTACCGTGTGTAACCAGCAACGTTACACATCACATCACGACTACAGGACCACCTGTATTTTCTAAAGTACGACGACTATCTCCCGAAAAGCTAGGGTTAGCGAAAAACGAATTCGATTACATGATGGACTTAGGAATCATACGACCGTCAAGTAGCCCATATGCATCTCCGTTGCACATGGTCCCTAAAAAGGACAGCAACGATTGGCGTCCAACTGGTGACTATCGGCGATTGAACGCGAAAACCACTCCCGATCGTTACCCGTTGCCTCACACTCACGATTTGACAGCTACCTTGAAAGGTACAACTGTCTTTTCGAAAATCGACTTGGTTAAAGCGTATAACCAAATCCTTATGGCTACTGACGACATACCGAAAACAGCCATCATAACTCTCTTCGGACTCTATGAATTTTTGCGAATGCCTTTCGGTCTAAGAAATGCTGCTCAAACATTCCAAAGACTCATAGACGACGTTTTTCGAGGTCTCAACTTCGTACGTGCGTATGTTGACGACTGTCTAATCGCAAGTCCGGACAGAGAAACACATCTCAAGCATCTGGATCTTGTTTTCGAACGATTACAAAAACATGGCATTACTGTAAACGTTCAGAAATGCCAAATTGGAACCGACTCATTAAACTTTCTGAGACACACTATCGATGCTCAAGGTATCCGACCCCTTAGAAGTGGCGGCCATTCTGGATTACCCAGAACCGACCACCGTCAAGTAATTACGCACGTTTAACGGCCTCGTAAGTTTCTATAGACGTTTCATACTGAAATGCGCATTACTCATGAAACCGCTAACCGACCAACTTCGTGGAAATGCGAAATCCATTAATTTGGACGACACCGCACGAAAAGCATTCTCCACAGTTAAGGAACTGATTGCTAAAGCAACAATGCTCGCACATCAGGACACCGAAGCACCTATTAGTATCGCAGTAGACGCATCGAACTCGGCAATCGGTGGCGTCTTACAACAATGGATTAACAACTCATGGCAACCCTTGGCATTTTTCTCTAGAAGGTTGCTAGACACCGAATCAACGTACAGCACATTTGGTAGGGAACTCCTAGCTATGTATTGTGCTGTACGGCATTTTCAACATTATATCGAAGGCCGTAAATTCACACTTTTCACGGACCATAAACCGCTCACTTTCTCGTTAAGCTCTCCTTCTGACAAGTACTCTCCCCGTGAGTCTCGACAACTGGACTACATTTTGCAGTTTACTTCAGATATTCAGCATATTTCTGGAGCAAACAATGTAGTTGCAGACGCCTTATCTTGCATAACTTCCTTGAACAGTTTCCAAGGCATCGACCTTCTTAAACTCGCCGATCTTCAAAAAGGAGACAGTGATCTTCAGCACGAGTTATCGTCTACAACCCTTAAACTAAGCATCAAACAGGTAAGGAAACCTTACTGTGTGACAAATCTACAGGTAGGGATTGCCCAATCGTGCTGAAACATTATCGACGCAATGTCTTCAACACATTGCACAAACTTTCTCATCCAGGTGTCCGTGCAACCATCAAGCTTATAGCAGAACGGTTTTGCTGGCCTGGAATGAATAAAGACGTGAGGGAGTGGGCACGCTCCTGTGTAAGCTGCCAAAAAGCTAAGGTCATCAGACACAATAAATGTCCTTTAGGCTCGTTTAAAACTCCCGATGCTCGTTTCGACCATGTTCATCTGGATTTGGTAGGACCTTTGCCAGATTCAAATGGATACTCTTACCTCTTAACCTGCGTAGACCGTTTCACTCGATGGCCAGAAGCAGTACCTATCAAGGACATCACTGCTGAAACAGTAGCCCGCACATTCGTCGAACGATGGGTAGCAAACTTCGGCTGCCCTTCAACCATCACCACAGATCGCGGACGTCAGTTTGAATCTGATCTTTTCCGTCGTCTGACAACACTTTTAGGAATCACTCGCTTCCGAACGACTGCCTACCACCCACAAGCAAACGGGTTGGTAGAACGCTTTCACCGACAACTAAAAGCTTCACTATCAGCTGCAAATGTTTCACAGTGGACCGACGCTCTTACACTTGTCTTACTAGGTATCCGCAATGCAGTGAAAGCTGACATTGGATACACTGCGGCTCAACTCGTTTATGGAACGACACTTCGACTTCCAGGAGAATTCCTGGATCCTTCGTCCTCTTCAATGAACATGGATCTAACCTCCTACACGAACAGGCTTACAAACGCAATGCGTTCAGTTTAACCTGCTTCCACTCGACCTCAATCAACTGATGTTTTCGTTCAACCTGACCTACGATATGGTACACACGTTTTCGTTCGTCGAGACTCGCATCGACGACCATTCGAATCAGCATATGAAGGACCCTTCAAAGTTCTTCAACGTGAATCTAAGTACTATATAGTCGATATGAACGGAACAAACGATAGCATCAGCATCGACCGCTTAAAAGCAGCGTATTTAGAAGGAAATCCTATTCACGTCAACTTTCATTCGGTACAATCGCACAACACGACTCCTACACTCATAATTCCTCAACCGACAACCAACACTAGCGATGATACTCCGAATGTGTCTCAAAATAAGCCTAAAACGACGCGTTCTGGAAGAAGAGTAAGATTTCCAGAACATTTAAACGACTACTGCACGTAAGGCACTACTCGACATCTTATATTATCTCGATCTTTCTTTTTACGATATATAATTTTTTTTAAAAAAAGACAATTTTAATATGCTTATATATTTATAATTTTTTACTTAAAAAAAACAAAACAAAAAAACATTTTTTTAACGCTATTATGTGTGCTTGAGTATATTTTCAATTTTTTCGCCGACATTGTGTTTTTACGCACATACGAGTGTATTTCGAAATGCACTTACACTTTCTTTTTTCTTTTCCAGGACGGCTGGAAAAGAACGATGCAGTTTACGAGGAGTCGAAATTTTCGTTGTAACTATGTTGTACCTCGGTCCCATATAGTAATGAAGGACGGCCAGACGCTGCTACACTTAGTAAGCTATCAGAAGAGTGTTTACCAACGACAAGCTCGTTGGGTTTAAACTTCTGACTGGCCACGTCTTAGGGTCGTCACTGCCCCACTGGGAGGGAGTGATCTGTAGCGGTAAATAAATCCCCAAAATAAATAGCTCTAAGTTTTCGACATTGGATGCTGACCATATGTTTTAGTGGACTCATCTAGCTGAAGGCGCTCGGTCAGGCATCCGCACCAGATCACGTGTGGTAACGCCGTGCTCAATATCAACCGCAATCGCTAGCCAGATTAGATCAGAGAATTCCGATATATTGGTGGTCGCCAAATACACTCTTCCGATCTCCTCGACTCTGTCTTTTGATTTCTCTGGGTGGGAACGAAATATATTAGAA